ACAAAGAACAATGACCATTATTAAATACCTAAAACCTTTCATGCCCAGCCTTTCCCAACCTGTGGCCCACTAGATATGATAATAGACTATAATTCCTATAATGGCCGGGGAAGGTCGTTTCTTGTAGATGATTCATCTTCCTTTTAATAGTTTTGCTTCCACGTTTTGGCAAGTTTTACTCCTTTGCTCTAGTCAGCGGTTTTCAACCTTCAGGTCCCCAGATGTTTTGGCCTTCAACTCCCAGAAATCCTAAGAGCTGGTAAACTGGCTGGGATTTCTGGGAGATGTAGGCCAAAACACCTGGGGACCTACAGGCTGAGAACCACTGCTTCAGGTGTGGTCCCTCCATAGCACTGATAATAAATCAGTGGTTCTCAACCTGTGGGTCCCCAGATGTGTTGGCCTTCAACTCCCAGAAATCCTAATAGCTAGTAAACTGGCTGGGATTTCTGGGAGATGTAGGCCAAAACACCTGGGGACTCACAGGTTGAGAACCACTGACATAAGTAAACTCATGGAAACTGAGAGCTTGACTACAACCAACTAACTCTAACCATTATACATTCTGTAGGTGGGATTGTGCAAAGTACCAAGTCAATTTGATAAAACCCACTCACTGACTTTGATTGTGTGTACCGTTTCTCATGCACTGACATTAAGACAATCAGGCATGTTCTACTTTCAGTAAAAGTGCCTACTGAATGAGTGAGCAAATCTTGTTCTTCTCTTCTAATGATCACAGAAATTAGATCCACATATTAGCGGGGCTTAGTTAAGCTCGAATACCTTGATCTAATCCAATTTAGCTTACTGAAATGCTAGTTATTCCTCTTTAACTGACATGTGGATTTCAGCTTGGACAAATTCACATTTTTGCTGAATGGTGAAGGGCGGGGGGGGGGGGGGGGGGAGTGAAGGTCTTTTTGGCCCTTAAATTAGCAGCAAGGGGCTTCCAGGGAGAGACAGAGAGTTCAATTACAATTCAAAGGCATTCTGAAGCTATTTTCTTTTCATTTCTTTAACAAAACTTTCTTAACACATACATAAAAAGATGGAAGAAATAATCGGAAAATGGGGAAGAATGCAAATTTAAGATATTATCCAGATGTCCCATAGCGTTCTTAGAAAGAGGCAGTGACTGCACAGTAGAGTGATCATCCAGAAACACCCCAAATGTGTATAACTGAAAAAGATTTACAATGTGTTTTAAATCCAATCAAGGTGGACTAAAACTCAATACCATTTTAAACCCATGATGTAAATCCATTTTCCAAAAGACCTATCTTGTAAACCAAATTAGAGGAAATTGTGGTCCTCAAAGCCTCCCTAGATATCTCCAAAGGCCTGCAACCATCCATTTTTGCTAGAAAATGCCTGAAACCTTTAAACTGCAACAAAATATATCACTGGGTCCCTTTTCCCTTACTACCTTCACTTCCCAAATCGCAAAAATCATCTGTATTTGGTCAGAATCCTGGAATCACCAATTATGCAGGATAGCTTTTCGTTATGCCAGGAATGACTGCATACCCATGGGGGGTAGTGGTGTAGGAATGCATGGACCCCCAACATTTCTCTATTGTATTCCAAACAAAGGTGCAAACTTCGTGGTTGCTATCCCATTGGTCTGCAGCTAAACTAGTTCTTTTATCTGGAAACATACGTGTATTTTTAAAGCCATTATATCACAAATGTCAAACGCAAGGTTCACAGACTTAATATGGCCTGCCAAGTCATTTCATGTGGCCCACGAGGCTTTCAATGCAAGGGCAACATCATTATATTTATACAGTCTTAGAATTACAAATGGCCCTTTGAAGGCAACCATAAGGCTGATGTGGCCCTTGGTGAAAATGTGTTTGACATCCTGGCACTGTATCTGCTTAATATCAAGGGTAGCAAATGTAAGAATAATGGATTTGAGGTTAGGATTTTCCTACACATGCGAGGACGCTGAAGCAAAATTACTTAATAGAAAAAAAAACTTGATAATCCAACACAGGGGAAGAATTTTAGGACCATTAAACAAATGGCCATAGTGTTCCTGAAAGAAAAGTGTTTCTTGCTGTGTTGTTATTTGTGACTTATGGTGACCCTAAGCTGGCTTTATCATGGCGTTTTCTGAAGCTGAGAGAGGATGACGTGCACAAAGTCACCAAAGCTTATGTTTCTCAGCCTTATTAACCCTAAATGTGCTGCCACATGCATCCAGAAAAAACCCAGACAAATGAAGAAACTTGAATCCAATCTTTGGCGGTGTCTTCCGTTTCATCAAAAAAGAAAAGCGGGGGGGGGGGGGGGGGGGGGGGAGAATTACTTTTAATTCTTTTAAGTACCTGGCAGTCAATGTCCCAGCTGCACAGGATGAGCTATTCAGAGATATGTTTCAACAACACGCATATAAACCAAGGTGTACTAAAATTAACACATTTAAAAATAGACGTCTCCTGGTTAGTCGGTATGTATCTGCAAGCGCTGCATGAGTTGAGCTGACACATAAACGTGTAGAAACACTTCCCGCAGATCCACATGATTGAAAGCCTATAATGATTCAAAGCTTACTACACAAGGCAGTCTAGCTTTTCTAAGAAGTAGGAGAAAGAAAATAAGGAGGGGGGAGTAGAAGTGAAAGACCAAGGTATTTATAGACCCAGAATTTAGATGCATACTCCAGTTTGTTAAGTCTTCCCTATGCAAAAATGATGAAAAATAAATACTATTAGTTTTTATGGCACCCACACCTTTCTTCCAGTTTTTGGACGCATAATTCTTCATGATCACTGAGATGGCTGCTCTCCATGCAACTGGAGCCAACAGCTGATGGATTTTTAAGATGCCAGTGCTTTTAATTATCTTCTCCACTGTCCTTTTGTCACTGCTTCTGGCTCTATAAAACAACCTGCTTCGCATATTGGATGGATTCCAAGGTTAAAGCAAACCATGATTTAATGTTTAAAGCAACAGGAGTATTCTCATGCCTCCTCTCTCTCTCCCCCCTGCTGCCTCAAGGAGACATTCAACATTTCTACTTCTACCTTTTCATTTACTACAGCTGGTAACGTCATACACAATTGAAGAAGGTGCAGGCAACCTAGTGACTTCTAGATGTTTTCAGATACAGCCCAACAAACCCGAACACACACACAAGCCTGGAAGATACTGGAAGGACCTTTGTTTGGATAAAATAACCAGATCTTCATCTGTACTGGAAAGGCTTGACCATAACAACAACAACAACAACAACAACAACAACAACAACAACTTTATTTTTATATCCTGCCACCATCTCCCTGAAGGGACTCGGGGCAGCTTACAAGCGGGACCAAACCCAATAATAACAAGCTAAGCAAATAAAAAATACATTTAAAAGCACAGTAAACATACAAAAACTAATTAAACAATTAAAACAGTAAAGTATAAAAATAATTAAAATAAATGAAAAACCAACCTCAATAACCACAAACAGACTATCATGTGCATATCAAGATTAGAAAGGGCAGGGGCATGTGCAGAAATAGATTATAGGGCAGGCTTAAGTGGTTGAGGGGGGCCTGAGGCTGTTAGGAATTGTGGGAGTTGAAATCCAAAACACCTGGAGGGCTGAAGCTTGCCCGTGCCTGTTATAGGGCTAGGGACATGCTGAGTTCAATCTGAAGTTAATTAGGTCTGGACAATCATAGACAGGGGCGTAGTCATTTGCAAATGCACATTGGAATATCCATGTTTTAAGGTCCCTGAGGAAGGTAGTCAGAGTGGGTGCTAGTGTAATCTCCCTGGGGAGAGAGTTCCAGAGTTGGAGGGTCACCATTGAGAAGACCCTCACTCATCCCCACCAATCGAGCTTGTGTCGGTGGCGGGAGCAAGAGAAGGGCCTTCCCAGCAGATCTTAGGGTCCACACCAATCATAGGGGAAAATGCGGTCGCGAATATAGGCAGGACCTAAACGGTTTAGGGCTTTGTAGGTGGGAACTTTGAATTGGGATCGGAAACTTATCGGAGTGGAGTTGTTTTAATAGGGGCGAACATCAGTAGATCATTACTATAAACTGTGACCTTCTATCTAGTTGTTACATATCCTGCTTTTGCATCCACAATTCGTGTGTTTGCAGAGCAATCCAAGGCATGTCTAATCATACGCCCATTTCCATTGTGTTCAGCGAGTCTTACTCTCATGTAACAGTGGACAAGGTTGCAGCACTATTTAGTTAAGAAAGCACCATAGGGAAAAATGTTAAGTTAGGGATGCAAATGAAATGTTTTCAACCTGCAATACTAGGCTGCACCTAATTTTGATATTTTGATTTGCATGTGGCCGCCTGTGCCCTAAGTCTGCTTGAAAAGAGGAATTGCTTCTTACAATTTCTATGCTCCAGCAGTGCTAAGCAAATACAACTGCTTTTCACACAGTGCGTTCTACAGTAAGATGTTGGTAAGTCTCACGCAGTTCTTTGTCACACTGCAGATCAATCTGAAGCAAGAGCATGAAGCAAAAGCCTTCTAGGCAACAGTGAGAGATTTGCTGTCAAGTGGAAAGCCCTCTGAGAAAAGAATGACAGCATTCCAAAGCTTGATGCATTTTAAATCCCATGCAGGCTAAACTGGATTTAGGATCAATATGACTTTCTTTAAAGCAAAGCTAATCTAATACAAAGGAGAAAGGGCAAACAGACAATGTGAGTGTAAGGGTACTGGTGGCCATAGGCACAAGCGACTCAAATTATTATGTTAGATCTGGTACAGGGTTTTATATGTCAATCAATAATTTAAACTTCACAAAAACAAGTAGAAAGATATACACTGACCATAGTTACATCAAAGGGAAATTCAATAAGAAGAAAGACTCTATGGAGTACTGCAGCATTTCTTCTAAAGGAGCCTATCTGGGCAACGGTTTCATGTCCTGATCAGCATGCACGTTTACTCAGAAGTCTATCGTCTTGTGTTTTGATGCATAATGCAAGCATAGGATTTCTAACTAAATAGCATACTAGTTAACTCACCGTGAAGATCAGATGACTGTTTATGAGGCTTAATGAATATCTGTAGGGAGAGAAAAAGAGAGCTTAATTGGTCTTTATTCTTTCAATTTTCCCCCCTTCTGGGCTCCATATCACAATTCCTATCTTTCTGAAAATGATTCCCTGGGATTCCCGCTGGAAGGAGTCGGTGTCATGCCCTAATCACTTGCAGGAAAGGTGAGTGATGGGAAGCACTTTCACCTTTTCCCTTGGGCAGTCACACTCTCACTCTGTGCCACGGAAAAATACGTGCCTAGAATTCAAATCAATGCTTTACTGCAATATTCATCTCTAGAAATGGAACTGACAGGGTAGCAGGCAAAGACAGAAAATCCTGCATTTCATTCCTGAGACTGCTGATTTTTTTAAGCTACTTGTCAAGCATTGCCTAAATCCACGATTACACATTTATCAAGTAAAAGCCAGTCTAGAGCCTTGCAAAACACCAGGTATGTTTTCCATCTGATTAATATGCTGTTCTCATGCATGATGAAATTTGCATAAGATTCTGGAGATCATGTCAACAACATTACCTTGTAGGCAAATATTTAATACCTATACTCACAAAATGTAGTAAATATAGCAAAGCAACACTATTTAATCATGAGCAAACAGTGTGGAAAATACATTGCATATGCCTGGGCTTCAGTGTCTGCAAAGCAGTACTGAGGACAGTATGACCCCCATATCCATGGAGGATATGTTGCAAGCCCCCGCTTCCCCTGAACCTTTGATATTTGACTATACATAGAAGCTGTTAACCCAAGCTTCTGTCAACCTAGCAGTGCAAAAACATGCAAATGTGAGTAGATCAATAGGTACCGCTTCTGCGGGAAGGTAACAGCATTCCATGCAGTCATGCCGGCCACATGACCTTGAAGGTGTCGATGGACAACACTGGCTCTTCAGCTTAGAAATGGAGATGAACACCATCCCTTAGAGATGGACATGGCTAAACTTAATGTCAAAGGGAAACCTTTTCCTTTACCTTATACATGGGTAGGGCACATACCACAGAATTTTACTGGCAAAGTTAGAGACTGTCATAAGCACATCCAGTAGGGGCATTTTTTAAAAAAACATGGCTAAGCAAAACCCATGGATATTAAATCAGTGGATAAGGATGCCACACTGCATTTCTAATAAGTTTTGGTACTGTATTTTTGTGCAGTTTGTAATGAAGACTTTTGCTTGGTGCTCTGAATAAACTGCCATCATAGATGACAAATTATCTTGACTTTCTGATCATGACTCTTGATGTGAAATGACTGTAAAGTGAATAAAGCCCAATATTCAATTGGAGGAATTCTGGAGTTTCCAGCTGCAAACACACTGAATACTGCCAATCTCTTAACTGCGCTCTTACAAATCAAGACAGGATGCCAAATTATAGACTTCATCCCTTCTCACACAAATTTGTTCTCTCCCGTACTTTCTTTGCCAGAGTTAAACACAATTTAGCTTTTCAACTACAGTATGAAAACAAAGTTTGAACTTAGATACGGTTAAAGCTGGCTAGAGTTACAGATTTGAACTATGCAGACCTAACACTGCATTGTTTATTCTGGCAAGAGAAATGTTGGTAGAATTCAGACAGGATCTTTTCAGATTGTCATGGTAGTGAGATTTTCTATATTGTGACTACATTGGGCACAATAATCCTCCAAATACTCCTCTGCTGATTTTGATATGAGGTATTTGTTCAATTATTTGTGATGTTGATTTGATTAGATAATTTCATGGAGGCCAATGTCGTCGTCGTCATCATCATCATCATCATCAATAACAACAACTACTACTACAACAACTTTATTTTTATATCCTGCCTCCAGCTCCCCAAAGGGACTTGGGAGGGCTTACAAGGGACATGCCCAGCAAATACAAATTAAAAACAAGCACAAAAATACAGTCAACATCTAAAAACAATAAAGCATTATAATCAGACAACATCATAAACCAATATCATGGCTGACAACAATAGTGGGTTCAGGATCAGAATTCCTAGAAGTGGTTATTGCAATGTAGAGCCAAGGCAAGTGCTACAAATAAGAATAGTACGTGTATGCCACCTCCAGTATCAAAGGCAGTATGTTGGAGAATGCAAAATAAAACATGAAGTTGTCCTCCTGGACCCTTTCCCATTATGAGAGCCTAGGTTGACATGAAATTGACCTGATACTTGCTATACTTGAGCACCTGAGTGAAACTGTTTACCAAAACACATGCAGTTTTCCCCTTACTGAGAAATATGCGAATTTCATCAATGATTATGCTGGTGAATTACCAAGATTAACCATGAACGGAAAGAGAGAGAAAGAAAATGCGTCATTTGTTAAAGCAGTTTTGTTGGGATAACACTTCTGAACATTTCCTCCCACAGCATCCTGTTAAATGGAAAAATGAAATGCAACACATACTAACAAAACTGAAAAGATGCAGATATCTTAAAAGTAAAACATGCAAGGACAAAGGCCATGCCACTGACAATAAAACATGAAAAGATGAAACTGAAAGGCACAAGTGTCCAAGGTCTAAAATCTAGAAGGGCCACAGGTGTCAGTTTCTCTTGGCGTAGCTTCTGAGAAGATATTTGCATGAGCCCTCTGCTTTGGAAAGGGAAGTAGACTGAGAAACCCGTTTTCTTACACCAAGCGCTATGGGGACTTTCCTAGACCTTTGGTAGCCCAGATGGGGAGCCTTACCATGCTGTATTGGGACTAAGTTGTGTGTTAAGTCTTAGCCTTGTAGCAGCTCTAGCTTGGACTAAGAAGATGGAAATTCACTTGACTGCAAAGGTTCACCAAGTAAGACTGGGAGAGTCGTGGACTCTCATTCTGAATTTCATTGCAAACCTGTGGTCTTTGTAATAGAATGGAGAGGAGCAAAGTCTTTAAAACGGCTAGTAGGCTTGTGCACAGATTTGGAGTTTTTGGTTCCCTTCAGCCAATTCAGCTTTTTTGGCATGACCATAATGGTAAGGGCCCAGCCATCACGTTTTTCATCAGTGACGGGACCACGTGGCAGCCAATTATGGTTCCTCCTCGCCTATTCAGCATCATGGAGCACACAAAAAGGCTGCATGCTGCTTGCATGGGGTTTCCCTATGATGCCTGCTTGTTGGGCCAATCTGAATAGAAGAACACCGTAACGTGTCTCACGCACTGCTTCCTTAACCCTGTTGCTCAAACCCAGACTTCCTTGAAAGGAAGAAAAAAAAGAGTCCCAGGAAAGGTGCTTCCTGAACCCCGTTACTGAAACCCAGACTCCCTTGAAGGCAAGAAAGGGAAGGATCCCAGGAATGGAAAGGGAAGCCTTGTAAGTTCCCCAGTGTTGACAATTTATTTATTTATTTATTTACGATATTTATAGCCTGCCTTTCTCAGCCACACAGCAACTCAAGGCGGGTTACAGATTGGCACAATTCAATGTCAGGCACTCATAAAAGTGCCATTAAAAACAATCAACATTACAATATAAAACATATATAAAAACCGTTAAAGCATATAATCATTGGTGTCATCCTGTTAAAAATGTTATCCAGTAACATCATCTGGCCATTCCATGTTCATCATTCATAGTTCCATGTTATCTATTCTGCTACATTCTCAAAAGCTTGCTCAAAGAGCCAGGTCTTTGCTTTTTTCCAGAAAGTCAGAAGGGAGGGGGCTGATCTAATATCCTTGGGGAGGGAGTTCCATAGCCGGGGGCCATCACTGAGAAGGTCCTGCCCTTCGTCTCTGCCAATCGCACTTGCGAGGCAGGCGGGATTAAGCGCAGGGCCTCCCCAGACGATCTTAAGCTCCTAGATGGTTCATAGGAGGAGATACGTTCAGACAGGTAAGCTGGGCCGGAATCGTTTAGTTGGCAGGATCTTCCCAGATCTTTCAGCTGCCTAGCCTATATATATACTTCCATTAGCTGACTTTGGGAGGCTCCTGAAAAATGGATCTGGGTGCCCAATGAAATTCGGATGCCAAAACCAGATTGCCTTCCAGCCAAATTGCACAAGCCTAATGGCTAGGTTTACATGTTCCTTAGGAGAATGGACATATGTCAAAATAAATACTTCATTACATTTAAAAAAACATAATTAATGTAATTATTTCTACAAACAGTTATCTCATTTGTTTTGTTTTTGCAATTATTACATGTACCAAGCCAATTAATGGTTATTCCCATAATGTGTTGTTAAAAGTATCTGACTAGCTCAATTTTTAAGCCAAAATCCTAGACACAAAGCAGCTTGGATTTCCCACCTCTGTGGCCTCCCCTCCTTTTCTTGTCTAGCTCTCTCGTGAGTACTATCCCCATCACTGAAACAGGATTTTGAGTGCTTGAATTTCAAGCTCTCAGTTTAGTTGCTTTGTCTGCCTGCCAAAGAGCTAAGTAGAGCATTACGGTCAAAGTCCAAAGGCTCTATATAACAAAGATTTAAGTCGAAGTAATGATAGCAGATGTGTACATACTGTGGGATCTGAGCTAAAAACACAAAAATGTGTAGTTTAATTCTAATGAGAAATGCTGTTTGTTGCACTAAATGTAAGTAAACAAACAAACATTTCTCTCTTCCTTCCTTTTCCCACTGGCTGAAACCTCTACTATGTCTCAATTCTGTATTCAGCTATTGGCATAGGAACAATGAGGCACTGGATCAAGCACTAGATTTTCGGCACTGGCATAAGGAGCAAGAGCAGCTGGTAAACATGGGGAAAGACCACCTAAGTCTGGGAAAACTGACCTGAAGCATGCTTGGAAGGGATGAAAATGCCCACGATGCGGCCAAGCCAAGAAGCTATCTGCTCATCCTGTTCCATTGTTTCATGACTAATTAGCATCAATGTCTAAAAACTGAGGCTCTTGAATAATCATCCTCACTAGTTCTGAAACACAAAGTCCCTTCTCATTCATAGCCAAATGGTTGTAGAGTGCTTGAGCTACAGTAGGAAACATAGGCTAGATGTGAGCAGATGGTGTTGAGGTCCAGGAGGACAATAACTCAAGAGAAGAATATGACTTAGTGCT